GATTTATTGGGCATAAGCTTTTGTGGGTAAAAAACTCACATCTGAAGAAGTGGTTTTTTACCCACGAAAGCGTATGCCCAAATAAATCTGTTAGTCTTTAAGGTGCCACCGGACTCCTTGTTGCTTTTGTGGATACAGACTAACACGGCTACCTCCTGATACTTGACACCTGCTAATACAGTTTGTTCCCATGATATATGCTCAAGTGCTATGTTCAGTCCAGCTTTAAAAGACTTAAACTTACACTTACTTGCCTGAGGAGACTATTCCATGACATAAAGCAGGGAACTTTTCCCTGATGCTCAACATGTGTCTTTCGTTGTCAACATTCATTCTAGAACTCCTAATCCTTGTTGGTTAGTTAGTTAGTTAGTTATTCTTTGTATTACAAAGGTGCCTTGTTCTGCCCTGAACTATTCCTCTCCCTCCATGATGTTGATACACTTGTAGAAAGTTAGTGTTAGGAGCTGAGTTAAACTTTATTGTGGGTTGAGTGAAAACCTCATTGAAACTGATGTGTGAATGCAACTTTCTCTTAAGATAGTTGTGAGACAGTTAAGGGACCACTCCTAAAACAAGCCCTACCAGCGCCAGCCCAAGAGACAGACAGGCAAAAAGCAGGAAAACCAAGCAGTAACCAGTGAGCACAATGTAACCTGGGGAAAAAGCTAGTGAGAACCAGCTAGCTGGCTAAAGAGGCTTGGGGCTATAAACTAAGAAACTGCTCCTTTTGGTCTTGGTTTCTCCTCCTGTGTTCGGAGAAGCAGGACTTTGTACATTCCTTGTAAATAAACAAGATTGCATCAAAGTATCAGACTCCATCAATTTCTACTTCAAACTGGAATATCCTCAGAAGGCAGAACCCTGAACTGTGACTAGCTACTCAGGTCAAAAAGAGGCAACCTTATCTCTCCTCCACCCAGTCATCATATAGCTAAGATCTACATATTCAGTTATTTTAATTAATAATCCAGTCCTCTTCCCCCCCATTCTCTGAATTCCTTCCTACTTATTAACATCATTCTGGCCCACACTGTAGTAGCTCTCTGTGAGCTGAGGGGGTGAAAACATTTTCTATATGCAGTGTCAGTGCATCCCTGATCTGTGAGGCCTTAATGTGTACCACCCAAAATTACATTGCCTTATTTTGCCACTATATTATGCTGCAAAATAAACTGATTTGCTATCTGATTTACTTTCCGCTTTACTATTTTCCAGGTGTCACCCTTCCATTGCGTATTGTCTTCAATAATTATTACACTGATGTGTGTTTGCATTTTTCTAGGCTGACTCTCTTTCTCTCTCTTATTTTTGCCCATATTTCTAATTCCTCCTGTTGTTTCTCTATACTCTTAGTGTTATAAGACCTCCCAATTTAGTGTTCTTTGAGAACTTCATGTGCTGTTTGTTTACCCTATCTTCCAAAACATTAACAAAGATATAAATGCAAGTGCTGCGAGGCTGGGAGGAATGTATATTTCCTGGTATGCCTAAGGCAGGGATCAGCAACCTTTGGCACGCGGCCCCTCAGGGAAATCCGCTGGTGGGCCGGGCCGGTTTGTTTACCGGCAGCGTCCGCAGGTTCGGCCGATTGCAGCTCCCACTGACTGCGGTTCGCCATTCCAGGCCAATAGGGGCTGCGGGAAGTGGCGTAGGCCAAAGGATGTGCTGGCTGCCACTTCCCGCAGCCCTCATTGGCCTGGAACGGCGAACCACGGCCAGTGGGAGCTGCGATCGGCCAAACCTGCGGACGTGGCAGGTAAACAAACCGTCCCAGCCCTCCAGCGGATTTCCCTGACTGGCCACGTGCCAAAGGTTGCCGATCCCTGGCCTAAAGCTTGGAGCCAATGCTGTAGTTAGCTACAGTGAATGGTGGTTGAAAAACAGGAGAAAGCTACGGAATATAAAAAAGGAGGCTTGAGATTTGCTTTTTGTTAAATTGACCAAAAGATGTAGATAAAATAGCAATTTTGAAAGCTGCCTCCTTTCATGCAATGAATTCCCTGGCTGCATTTCCTATTCCCAGGATAACAAAATGACAGCTCTGTCTTAAAAATTATATTTGACACTTTTTCAAGGTATGTTCAGTGATTTATTACATTCCTTTTAATGCAATGCCTAGCTAAGTGTACTCAACAGTTTTCCTTTAAAGCTGCCTCTGAAGTCTAAAGCATGGGTAATCAATTATTTTTTGTCAAGGTCCAGACTCCAGAGAAAATAATACAAAAATAATA